CATAGAATCCCTTGACTTATGGCCAAACCACTCCAGAGGTGAGTTGCACACTTGCAGGTTTTTTTTGGACAACCGACACGGCTCCGGAGGAGTCCTTCAGTTTCACTCCAAATCCGCCCGACAGTCGCACCCTCTCCACTCCCGAACAGTCGCAGTGGCTGAAACGAGTTGTCACAGGTGGCCTGGAGAGGTTTACGTCTCAATCTCGGGGTTCTGTGCCTCGCTTTCAGGCTCTGGCCTTGCAATCCTAGACATCCCTTTTTGTTTCTCACAGATTGAATCTAGCAGACAATGTCTGATCTCCGATACAGCTTCGCGTTGTCAAAAAAAACGCTGGCGTTTGTTTTCCTCAGAGGCTCCCAATGTATTTAGGGCCCTCAAACGGCCAGGTTTTGAGACCCCCAAACACCTCCGGGGTGCCAAGTAGAAGTTGCGGCGTGGTAGTGTGAACGCTGCTTTACTTTACTTCTGCGTATCTTTGTCGCAAATCAAGCTGAATTTTAGTAGATGTCTAATGGAGGGGTCGTCAAGAAAAGATCCACTTGATACACTGCACCGGTGCCAGGCCAGCCCCACCAACGGGGCCCGTTGAGGCGGCAGCTGCTTGCTTCGAGGCGAATGCACGGGGCACCGAGAGCAGTTCGCAGATACGGTATGTTTAGACAGGGCTCCTTAAGAGATGCATTTTGCCCATTTGAAACATGGCCTTTTCCACCAAAATAAAGGGAAACTGCACCATTTACAAGTTGCAATGTTCAGGTGTATCATGTAAGGATCCCTGTTAGACCAGCTTTGACTGGAGGTTGCTGCTTAATCCCTAAGGGTCTCTAAATGACTTCTTTTGAAAAGTCTTCGAAACCTCTCAACAACATCCTAGCGAACCAAGGGGCTCGGGAAAGGCATCCAATCATTGCTTTTGGAGGATGACTTGAAGCTTTTGGGAGTGCCTAGACCTTGCCACTTCCTGTGAACAGGAAGCCAGGCTTTACTACAGATTTGCCAGACCTACATTGGTGCCCTTTGCTCCTTTGTTTGGAGGGGTTTCCTTTTGAAGTCAACTACCAACCATGGGTGTCGTTTTTAGGGTAGTTGGTTGGACATAGATGGGTTCCACACACCGTTGAGCCTGTCGCTTGGGTTGGAGAGATGTGATGCAAGCTGAACGGATAGACATGCCCAGTGCTTTCGGTTACCACTATAGTAGCCACAGGAACCACCGTATCAACTCACGGGCCAGGAAAAAGTCCATAGCTGGGACTTGTTCAAGCAAGAAAGCAATAATGCAATTTATGTTGTCTCTGGAGTCATCTGGATAGAAATCCTGGGCAATCAAAGCCTGGGCAAACTGTAGTGACCTGACTTACCACCTCATCCATGCTGCACGTTTTTTTGTCGGCGTTTCACGGCATGATTGCCCAGGATCTGCAAATCAGACCCCACGTTTCCGAACCTACAAGGTTTTATGTTCGGCGGCTGACTTTCTGAAGATGGGCTCGCCCTCTGTTGAACCAGACTTAGTTCAAAGGCTTCGCCTGGACTCTCCGTGGCCTTTTCAAAAGGGGGAGGTTATCCTTTAATATTGGCAGACTAGGTCCTGCAGTAGTGCCCTTTTACCCTTTTTGGAGGGAGGGTTCCCCTACTAAAGTAGACTACAGAAAAAGGTACCCTTGTTCTAACCTCTCTACTGGAGGACCTAGTACATTGCCCCAGTTTGAAGGTGTTATTGAGAGTCCTCAGTTGTCCAGTGACCCTGGATCCAGGGAGCCATTTCTTGGGAAGACCATTTTTAGTGGGGCAGCCACCAAAAAAGAGGAAAAGGGTAGGCAGATGGGCCAAGTCGCTCAGGGAGTGAGTGCTACCCTTTTGCACTCGTAGGCTAGGCCTTTGATCCGACCGCATCCGCTGCCGGCACGGCGCGGCAACCCGCGGTCGCCCAGTGCTGCAGTGGCATCCCGATGTTCTGTCACGTGTCCAAGCACAGAGCGCTGCCCCCTCAAGCAAGTATTTCATCCATTTGCTGAAGAATATGTTTTGTTTCCCCTGCTGTTGTTTAGAGGGAATCTATCACTACTGGACATATTTTACGTTTTTTTTTCCAGGGGGCTTAAGCAAATGGAAGATTTTGCTTTTTTTCCGTTTGGAGTGTCTTGGTTTGAGGGCGCCTCTGGTTGGTCGTAAAGTGAAGCAAAAAGGACAGTTTCACCATTTTGGGGATCCCCCCAAACCAAGCACCCATTTGGTTTCCTGCCTTTGTTTCTCGTCCCTTTGGTTTCCTTTGTAAAACCATGAGGTCCAGTTCTCTTCGGAATTTCATAGGGAACCCATGGGAACGCCATAGTTTGTCCCGCAATATCGGCCGACAAAGATTTAGCGTTGTCTCAATACAGAGAAATCTGTCGGAATCCAACCACCTGGGTCCTGAATTTTGAGAAGCACCCCACTTCCATTGAGTTTGATTTGCATGTGGCCGCTGGGCAACTGGTCTGTGAATTCGGTTTGGACAACGTCTTGGCCAAACACGGACGACTATAGATTTCTTTAGGCATGCCCCAGCATCGTGGGAGAATTGTGCTGAGCTTCACAGGGCACAAGCGATTTGAGAGGGGAGCCCAGATTCATCCCTGTTACTAGGATTGTTTGCATCTTAGTTATCGTTGTTGTCTTGGTTGTTACATTCGGTATTTGACCACGTTGTGTGTGCATTGGTATTACGCGGCTTACGCTCTGGTTTTCGTTGCGACTCATTAGGCACCTCAACTTGGGAGGATTCGAGTCAATGCGGCACAAGATCTGCCAGAAGCTGGGGCACTGCCATCGCTCTTCTTGCCACCCGGGACGAAATGTCCCATGCGCTCCCGCGCCCAAAAAATCGCCTCGGCCACTCGTTTGGCCCGACCGATCTCGTCGAGGCTCTCCGAAAGCTGGTCTTGGAAATGCCAAGCGAGGGGGATCCCGATCCCTGAGTCCCTGGGCTTTGTGCCTCTTTGAGTTTAGACCAGAAGAAAGTGGTGAACCAAAAGTTCTCAGGCTTTTTCGGGCCAATCCACTCAGGTGAGTTAATTCAGCCTGGTAGATGAAATGTTGTGTCGCAAAGAAACCACAAGTGGATGGATACCCTGAGCTCCGCCCTTTTCGGCACTGAGTTTTTTTTTTTGGAGTCTCAAGAGATAGTGCTGCGGCTGTTGCTTGCGGCAGCATCTTGTAAGCGTATGCGCCCAAAAAATGATTGGAGGTTCCACAGGATCAGTTGCCCAGCGGCGCCCCTTTTTTCCCTTTTTTTGGGGGAAGGGTTCTTTAAACTCAACCACGAAAAGGGCGCCGATTCTTGTTTCCCTTGCCGGAAATCCACTGGGCCTTGGACGTTCGCCGGGAGCAGTTTTCGACCTCGCAGCCCGGCGATACAACACGCATCGCCTGAAACCGTTTCTCACCTTCGACCCATGTGCGCTCGGGGAACTTTCGCCGGACGGGTTCTCGGGGAGACTCGAGACACTCCTCTCACGGTTTTAGTTACTACAAGGGGGTAAAAAACATTTGTTTGTTGCGATTATGTAAGCCACTTCTTGATTTCACTCTTCTATGAAACAGAACTTACCTCAGCCATGGAGACTCCAAGTAGCCTTACAACCAGTGGCTGGGTCCTCGAGGGCGGGGCACTTGGTGCATATCTTAGATCTTGTCTGAGGGCAGGAAAGATGGTCAGAACCGATTGGTTTTTGGGCCCTGGCAAGTCTATGCTCACCTTGCCCCCAATCAGTAGGTGGTGGTTTGGACCTTAGGGGGGTCGACCCCCCAAACGGCTCACACATTCTGTTTTGTTGGGCCCCTACTCGATGCAGAAAGGATCACAATTGATTTCTACTGGACATTTCTAGTTCACAAAACTGCTGGAATTTGCTGGGTGGCTTAGTTGAGCTTATGATGACGCCAAGGCGAGACAACGAGCCACGGGGTCAGGGGAAGTGACCGCGGCCTGTGGGGCAAGTGTGCACAAAGCACAGCGCGCCTCCAGGCAATCGACGGAACGCCGCTTCGACCGAAGGCGTCAATGGCGCCTTGGCCAACCCCACAAGTTGGGTGCGCGTGCAAGCATCCCTTCAGCAGCTTGAGCTGAAAGAGAGAGAAGCAGAGCGCGATCCGCAGGATTTGGCCTACGTATCAGATTAATTATTTGTTTTTTCCCATATTGTACCTGGAGAAGGAGTCTCCCGGCAGATGGAGGGGAATTCATCATGATCATTCGCCACTGGGTCCTCATTGGCTTCAAAAGCAAATGGAAGAAACCCGGGAGAGCTTGTTGACAACTGCTCAGTGGGGACAGTTGCGTTTTCTCCTTTAGAATGGGATGTATACCCCATTCGACGACACACAAATGGATTGGATTCTACGTAGCCAGTGTCGATTTCCCAGAAGGACACCTACAAGGTTGTTTCTTTTCCAACCCCACATCAACAACCCGTTTCTGTAGATCATTGGAAATCCGTTTAAGGTGATGAGACATCGGTAACCCCTGGATGATGTGTTGAGAGGATTGAAGTACTGTTAGAGGATGGGATAAAAGGGATCCTGGGGTGTCCCAGTATGAGGTTACCTCTTGATGAATCCAACCGAAAAAGAAAAAACTGGGGGTCCCTGCAACTCACTTCCCGAGTTCCTGAACTTTAAACTTTTTGGGAGCACCATTTTGGTGGTAGACCAACAAATCGGACGGTTTCGAGTGATACAAAAAGGGCGGTCCCATTTCGGTCCCAAATTTGGTGTCCTTCTGTAAGGGCCCCCCCCCCTTTTTGGTGGCTTTTTACAGGAAAACCAAAACCGAAGCCATGTTTGCCGAGTTTGTGGACTTTGAACTTTTTGGGACGAGCATTTTCATTTACCAGTAGATCAAAACCGCAGATTCCAAGATGTTAGCAGTTTGGTAGAATTTAAAATTGGAACCACCTGCAGGACATGAAACGGGTCCCCTACAAAGAAACCGTCGGTCCCGTCGGCCGCTTCAGGACCGGCGCAGCGAGCGCGTGGCGCTCTACGACGGGGTGCTGCCAGCGCGGAGCTCGGAGTGCCGCCGCTCGCTCGAGAACCGCCTGCCCCAAGGCCCATTTTTTGGAGGTGGGGGGGGCTGTCCCAGAAGACAAACCCATACTTCTAGGGGTAGCTTTTCCATGTCCATTCTGAACCCAGGGATCCGGTTTTCTTTCTAGAAAACCTTGGGAAACTCAGGGGAAACGGATCCGGTTTTTGGAAAGAAGGATGGTTTAAAAGAATGGTTGGAATCAACCCCTGGAATTTTTGAGGGCAGGTATTGCGGGACGCTCCAGTTGCGAGGTTTGTCGCCAGGCTTTCTCAGGTTACGTGATTTCATGCAACCGGCTTCGGCTTTGAAACCGCACAAAAGGAAGTTGATACTGTGGCTCGTGTAAAACAATACCTTTTTGCATCGGCCCTGGGACCAGTGCATTTCCATGCCATGGTCAATAATGTTGCTTTCCAAAACTGGGCGCGGGTTCCAAAATTGGCTTTACCCCCAAAATGGGTTGGTAAATGGAAGGGGCCTGCGGATGTTGTTTTTTTTGTTTAACTTTGACCCACGGAAGCATTTTCTCAGATTTGGATTCGCAGCTTGGGGAGGTGACTGAACAACATGACCCCAGCCAAGTTAATCAGCCCCGGACATCTCCACAACTCCGGACCCAGTTAAACGGGCGAAGGGGTCAGTCAACTGAACTGGGGAGGTTTCCTGTTCCAAAACGGACCCAAAAAAAACCGGACTCGTGCTTGGGAAGCAAGCATTTGGGGGTGGATTCCTTGCAAGATGGCCACCTTTGCCCTTGTGCGCTGTTGGATTCCCTGGGTGTCCTCCATTTTTAATCGTATCAGGCTCAAACAAAACTGGCTTTTGCGGATTGTGTTCAGCCTTTTCCCCAGTTCAGGGTTTCGTTTTAACTTAATTACAAAGGAAAGAGGCGCTGTTTTCCAGTTGGTTTACAACCCCCCCTACTTCCCAACACGCTTCTCTGAATCCTTCAATCAGAGCCCCTAAAGCAGGTTCCAGCAGAACTTTGCACAGATTGAGGGGGCCTGTGGTTTTGTTCCTAGAGTTCCCTAAGGGTACCTTTGAGGAGGTACCAAATGATTCCTTTCAACCCGACAAAGACATCTGCCTTTCAAGCTTGATCAAAGCAAGGCGTGCTTTCTCCTCCGCCCGGACTTGATGAGTTCATGCACTTTGAACACTTTTTGGGTTGCCACTTCAGTGATCCACACGCAACGTTTGGTTTATTATGCTTTGGCCGACTTGCCAACCCACTCGATGGGAAGTGAGCAGTGAGCATCTGTTTCTTTGGTTTCCCCAGCGTTTTTTGTTAGCCCCCGGAGCCTGCAGGCGCTGGCGTGCCTCTCCGATCGCCCGGAAGCCCCGGGCGTGCTGTGGATGGAAAAGCGAAATCCGTTCGCCCGCGCTGCGAAATGAGAAATCCCCATGGGGAATGGAGCCAGAAGGTTTGTCGGTGTTTAGGGAGTCGGCAACCATGTCGTACCTCGCAGGTGGTGCGAAATGGATTTCGGAAAGCCAAGTTTTTGAGATCCCCCATTCCAAAAACCCTAGTTCATTCCCTACTGATCAACAAGTACTTGGTGGTTTGGATTGGTGGCTTGGATTTTCATTTGAACCCCTAGTTCTTGTAGAGGTTGAGGGTGTATGGAAACTCCTCCCGGGAACACCTCCAACCGAAGTTGAGGGGCCCGAAACCGAAAGCCTGCAGACTCGGCCGAATGGCGCTTCTCCAAAACGTGGCAAGAGATCAGCCCCTCGTTGTAGTGATTCTCCATTTCTCTCCATTTGGAATTCTAACCAACACAATAGCCTTGTGTGCGCGCTTCCGTCCTGTGTTTCAGGCCCGCGTGCGTGTTTTTTTTTTTGTTCTCCATCTTACTCCAAAAACGTGGCTTCCCCAAACACGAGATGGGTTTTTGGGCGCCAAGCAACTGGGGGAGTTGGGACAACTGGCCCGACAAGGGCCCGGGCTTGTGCTTAGAGATCAGTTATATGCCCGGGCCCCGGGCCCTAAAAAAGCCACGGGGCCCCAAGGGCTGAGGGAGTCGGCTCAAACTCGATTGGAGTGGTGGGGTTGAAGGATGGGCAGGGCGGGGCTGGTTTACGTGATACAGAGTTGCTTCATGAAGTGTCCGTGGGTCAGCTTGAAGGAGGTAGGCTGGATTTAAGGTTTTTGTTTGGGGTTAGTTAAGGCTTAGAGCTAGGTCTCTGTTTGGTTGTTTTTAGGCTGGTCAAGGAGGTGTCATGGACTGGCGAAGGGTGTAGGGTGTCTAGAGTCAGCGTTTTGGAGTTGGTTTTAGGCTAGTTTAGGAGAAACTAGTTCAGGCTCGGGTGAAGGTTAGGTTGAGTGCGTTTTGGGCTGGTGCGGGATTGCTGCCCACCAAGCATGCTTGATATTGTTCCAACCACATGAAGCCCTCTGAGGTTACTTGGCGGTTCGAAACCAGCGAATCGTCCGGTTCTACTTTGTTTTCTTTTTTTGTCTTGTTCTTTCTTTTTTTTTCAGGTCTTTAGTTTGGTTTAGTGTGGGTCATTTTTCGGGGGTATTTCGGTTTTCCGCCGGCGTTTAGTGGTTGGGTTTCCATTCAACCCACGAGTTCGTCACCAGCAGATCCGCTCCTCGCGCTGAGGCTGGCACGGGGCGACCTTGGCGGTGGCGTCCTGTTGCCAGGTTCGGGCGCGGGCTCGCGGGCTCGCGCAGACCTGCGTGTGTCTGTGTCTGTGTCTGTGTCTGTGTCTGTGTCTGTGTGTGCGTGTGTGTGCGTGTGTGTGCGTGTGTACGTGTGTGTGTGTGTTAAGATATGAGGCTGAGGATTAAAACACCCTCCCCTTTAGCAGGAACATGGTCTTCCGGACTTTCTGGTGCGTGTTAAGCCATGAGGTTGCGAAAATACCCTCCCACCAAGTATCATGGAACCTGACAGGGACCCGGTCCCTTTATGAGAATGGCCCAAACCACCCCCCCGAACGTCAGGTTCCATGTTCCTTGGTGGGGTAGGGGAAAGGAGCAAGCGGGGTTATTCCATGTCTAAGACCAGAGGGAAAATCTCTTGTTGGAAAACTGTTAAACCATTGTGACGAACCTATTGATGGACGCCCACTTTGCCCCAGGAGTTTCATCCATTCAACCGGCGCAGCAGGACCACCTCTTGCAGGCCTCTGGTCTCCTTTTGTTGACGTTGGTTTCACATTCAAAAGCTTGGATTACAGGAAGTTCTACCGGAAAACACCGGTATCTACGCTGTCTTGGGGCCATTTGCTGGAGATGTTCCTAGTATCTACGCTATTTTTGGGGCCATGTCCTATAGATTTTCCTTTGACCAAATCCTTTGACGCATGAAATGCCATGCCTTTTGGTCCATCACCCCCCCCCCCCCCCGCCTTTTGGTGGCTGCCCCTCCGGGCGGAAAACAACAATCGCCAGGAAGTCTCCTGGGCCAAAGCTTGCCTGGAGGCTTGCGCGGCGTTTATTTTCCGCATTTCTTGGGCTTCAAGTGGGTGTCCGTTTTTTCAGGGAAGCTTGAGTGTGAAGGGATTGAAGTGTGTTTTTGTTTTTTTTGTGGGGGTGGCCCTCTTTGGTTTTGAAAACACCCAAAAGGAAACCACCCATTGTTTGGGGGCTCCACCATTTTGGGACACGAGTTTGCATGCGGCTCCGTGATTCAAGTTACGGCTTGGTCCGTTGAATTCGGATTCAGTTTACGGGGGAGCGACCCGAGCTGTTCCTAGACTACTGTGGATGGACAAAATCCGTTCGCACCACTGTGAAACCATCAGAAACCATTGTTGGTTGGTATTTGCAGGGGAATCATCACTCTGGGGGCTTTTAGGTGGTGCAGAGTTTTGTCCATCCACAGTATGATCAAAACCATGTAGAGAATCGATTCGACCTCCTTTTTGTGGGACCAAACTTCGAAACCTTCGTGCCGAACGGGCCGCAACGGAGCAACGGACGACATGGAAAGCGGGAACCTTTCTTATGGACCTTTTCCGACCCATTGACCGAACTCAATTAAAGTCACCCTCAATTCCAAACCATTTTTTGGCAATGGTTGAATTGGTTTCACTAAACAACATGAAGTGTAGCATCCCACAAACCAGCCAAACTTTAGCATTGATGGTTGAACCATGTTTAACCCATTTGTTGTATTTTAAATTGCAATGGAATTGTGTAGCACCCAACCAAAATTGAAGGGGAGGTTGTTCAACATCATGCCAGGGTTGTGCAGCTTGGTAAAACTCTAGAGCTTTCGCAGGCATGTCATGAAGGCTCGAGTGCCTTCTCGCCGCCTGTGGGCGGGCATATAAACCTGTATGGGAATGTGGCAGGGTTGCCCTGTTACACAAGAAGAAGGCATGGTGAAGTGTGTGTGTTATACGGGCGCCAGATCAAAATCCAGCAGCATTGTACAGTATGCAAATCCTGGCATTTCGGAAGAAACACATGAGGAGCCCCTTAGGTGTTTGTTATGGCTCCCACAGGGTGGCTCATACGAAGCACTAGGTCATTGCCTGATGAGTATAATATGGAAGAAGCTCAGATCTGTGAGTGGCGTCGCCTTTGTTCAAAGAGGGAAGGGACTGGCTTCCCTGAGAACGATTCAGCTAGAGGACCCCTTGATTTAAGTCCTGGTTGTGCACGGCTTTTCCTCAGAATGCAGTCAGCTTTCCTCCTAACCACTTGCACAAAGGAGCGGTCCGCTGGATTCCCTAAATATGGCATTGTAAAATACGATGGCTCGTGGTTGGTTACCCGTGATTTTTGAGGAATTGAACCTGTGGCCATGATTCAATCATGGGGCCTGGAGGTGTACAGTTTTTGAGGAGGGGGGGGAGCCCAAATAAGGCTTTAAGTGCTTAAATGCAAATTTGGGCTCTGAACCTCCGCTCCTCTCCCTCCAAATTCAGGTCTCCTGATTCCAAGAAATCACCTCCCAAATCCTCCAGAGATATCCTCGGGGTGCCATCCAAGACACGATTCTCCGCGGCGCGGCACGGGTTCCTCGCCGTGGGTCGCTCCGATGCCTTGGGCTGGAAGTCTGTTGGTTTTGGTTCAGACGCCACCGGAGAAAGAGGCCAGACATGGAGGTGTTCCCACAACATTGACACAGAAACCGAGTTCACCCCATTGCCAGCTTTGAGAAAACAAAAAGAAAACAGAAAAAACCAGGGGAATCCAATCCCCCCCCCTTCTTCTGTTGCCTCCCCAGTTTGGAGCAAAAAAAACAAGGAGAGCGAACCTCCCCTTGGCTGACGCCTTTTCGGAGCAACCGAATTGCCAGGCCTTTGAGTTCGATGGGCTCGGGCGCCCCAGCTCGCAGAGAAAATCCTCGAAGCTAAGGCGCTGGCAGCTTCTTCTTTTTCAAAAGAAACCACGAGGTTGACTCACTTGAACTTTGTACGTGGGATGGGACAATTTTGGCAAACAAGAAGTGTTTCGACTTTTTCTGGCCAATCCACTCAGGAAACAGTGAGATCAAGGGGAAGTAGTGATATCGAGCGGCAATGTTCCGACTAATTTGGCCCATGCTAATCGGGCGGTTTGGAGCGGCACTGTTGGCTTCGGATAAATTTGGAGGCCCATGCGAGTCAGGCAGCTTTCCTTCCGGGATTGGTTTATAGGGGTGTTTCTCAGCCGTCAGCCCGAGCTCCTTCCAGCGATGCGGCAGTTTTTTGTTTTGTTTTTTTCTCGACAGAAGGCTGGGGGCTTGAGCCACGCACACGATGCTCACCGAGTCCTTGGTGGGCCTGGCTCAGGTGTGTCTGACACGAATGGACCACTGATCGAATGACAAGCAACATGATGCATGTAAACATGCCTTAGGTGTGCGACACTGTGTGTGTGTGTGTGTTTGTTTTTGTTGAGGGTACCCGTTTTCACCTATAAGGGAAACCAACAAAAAAAGTCTGGGGTTCCTTTGAGAGAACTGCCTGACTCCTTTAACCATGATCACTATTTGCCATTGTCTATTGGGAGGACCGACATGGCACACTTGCCAAATGACCGACAACTACTGACAAGGTTCCCAGTTCGCATGATGGTGTTGACAAGCCGAATAGATCGTTTGTTTCCAGAGCCCCTAGTTGAATTTGAAGCTTGCAGAATTCGAGGTTCTCCAGGACACCCATGCTTCAATCATGGACATATCCTATGTTTGCTGGATGCCACAATCGCAAGGTCGGGGTGCCCATGCGAAGACGTGGAAATTGCATTCTCGTCAAAACTTGTTGCCCAAGGCAAGACATGTTTGGCTTGGTGCAAAGCGGCCACAAAGCGTGAAACACATTCTGTACGGGCCATGAGAAAATTGGGTCCTGGGGTAATTGGAGCAAACACAAGTTAAATGATAGGACCAGCATGTCAGTTGCAGCCTACAGCGCTTGTAGTCCCTTGGTACGGAAACGCTTGTGCGCTTGTGCTCCCCTCCAGCCCACTGACAATGTGGACGGGATAACGGACAACGGATAGCAACTCTACATTGAATGTGGGGAATGGGGCAGGTCTTGTCCGCACCACACGCCGCTCACCACGCTGCGGCATTTGCAGTATGCAAACACCGTATCGGTTCCTCGGTTCAGCTTGTTTCGGAGAACTTTTGAAACCGGCAAAGATTTTGTTTGGTCAAATCGATTTGCCCTTCCCATCAGACCCATCAGACCTACAGGATCACCTGCAAAACTTCGACCTCTTCTACCCCGAACCCCGAAACTTGCTGGTGCTCAGTAGGGAATGTGGTTGATTGAACCCAGAGAACCCCCTAAAAGGAACCCACCAGTTGGAAGAGTTTTTTTTTTTTTTTTTTTTTTTTTTTTTTTTCGGGGCCATTCGAATTCTCATTCCCTATTGAGCAACAGCAAGTAAACCAAAGATCCATCCTCAGAGGGTGTGCAGTTGGACTTTTTGGGTGACGAGTTGGCCCAAGCAGACCCAAGAACCGAGGCGGCCGTTGGCCGAATTGCTGGGCCTGCAGATCTTTGGGCGCGGCACTGAGGATGCAATCCACTTCCCCAGTTTCTGACTATTCACTTGGCTGTGGCTCAAGCAAGTGGAAACCCCATTGGTGAATGGAAGGACCCATGGAGGAAGAAACACCTGCGTAGCCCTAGCTCGTTAATCTTGAGCCCGCGCCCATTTTACTCATTTCAGAACCGTAGCAAGGGGAGCCCTTTGAAGCCTAATAGTCACTATTGACTATTACTGACAAGTAGAAGTGACTGGGAACTTTACCCGTGAAGTCGCAGCACATTGGCAGGAGAACCTGCACATTGCGAATCTGAATTGAAGGTGTTGCTAAAATGATCTTCCGATCTGCCTGGTGTTTGCCTTCAAAAGATATATTTTGCTGGTTAAAAGGAACTATGAGGGGAATCCAAAAGTTAAAGTCTGAAGCTCCAACCCAATAGCAGTAGAGTTCAATCAATCCTGAGATCCCATTGCCGGTTTCAGTGTCCCGGGATCAGATCGATTCACTGATTCATGACGGATTCCCCAGAGATCTTTGTCAGTGAGGTACACCAAATCCTTTGATGAGGTTGCAACTTAAGTTGCCCCGAGTGGGCAATTCGGCATTGAATTTCCTCCGAGTTGAGATTTCGGAAAAGTTGACACCCCCGCAAACATGCAAGTGCACAGACCTCAAGTGTCCAAAAGGAACGCCGACTTCCGAAGGCTTCCGAAAAGGGTCTGTGCGCCAAACCATGTTTGCTGGCGGGAGGTTAAATCTTGGAAAACTTCAGCGACTGGGAAAGTGAGTTTAAGGGGGTTTGCTGGGAAGATCTACAGCACCCAAGTTAAGCCTGGTTGATTGATAGGGGTGTCCTATCCCGTATGGGAACCTTCACCTTAGTTTTTGCTTTCGGGAGCACGCCCTAATAATCCACCAGGGTGACAAATCCGAGGAGAACTGACATGCTTGGCAATGCTTGAACAGTCCTTCACCGAACCAGTTTCGGCTGATGTGGCAGGTCTGATTGAACAAACAGACCAGCAGCAGGACAGTGGTCCAACAATAGTGGTTTCAGCATGGTTCAACAAGCTGGACCAAGCTTGCTTGGCAGTTGGATGACACTCGTGTGTTTCAAATAAAACAACACTTCAGAAACTTGGAAGTTGCCAACTCAAAGTCTCAAGGGGCGGCAGCCCGGCCACACTTTCATATGGTGGATGGACGAAATCCTGCACCAAGAAACCCTGGTTTCTGATGATTTCCCTGCACGTACCAACCAACAAGGGTTTCCCATGGTTCAGGATTTCGTCCATCCACGGCAGGTTTGGGTCGGGACCGGGCCCAAAATAAGGCAGCGCTAGGGGTGAAAGTTCCCACAAACGTTTCTCATCTGAGGCGCGGGAGCAAGCGCAAGCACTTGAGGCACCAGAAGCGCCAGAAGGGTCGGGGCTGAGTCAAGTCACTCTCTGAATGACGCCTTAGTCGCTGGACTTTGGTCACTTTATATTTCTTGGGGCCACCATTTCAGTGGCACTCCAAACGTCTAGTTGTTGTTTTTTTCTCCGGCCCTTACACTTGAGTGAAAGCTTAGCCTCGGCTTCTCTTATGATCGATTGGAGGCCCAGGACAGTGCCGTTTGACGATTATAGCAGCTATATGTTCAATCCCACGGCACCTTGCAGGGAGAAGGCCCCTGCAAGAGGAATTTGAGAGTGGGGGGAGAGGGTGAAAGGAAAGGTACCCTGCCACAAATGCTGCGTTAGCGAGAGGAAGGGTAGGCGGCCAGTTTTGAATGTTGCAGTTGTTAACCAACCGCAAGCCTTGGTTTGGTCACTTAAGGGTCACTGGGCACCCCCTGCCCGGCCCACACCCAAAAAGTACAAGAAACAAGAACTGCACGGCTGACATCGCCAAGTGGCGTGCAACTTGTGCGGGACGCACTCCTCAAATTCCATTTACGGTTCCGTGTCCCTTTTCTGGGCAAGACTAGATAAAAGGAATTGCTTAGGTTTAGAAGGGGCGCTTAGCAAAAGCGCTTTGTGTTGCTTGCAGACAAACATTTTGTGACCGAGGTCTTACCCATCACCAACGAATCGCTTGCTTGACCTTGACCATTCAATTCAATCCCACGTCGGTCGTATCACAAGGTGGGTGAGCCAATGAATTCCACTTCGCGCAGTGGCCAGGCAGATTGCCGCCTACGCGCGATGCCGACTGTCAGAACTGCTCTTCTTCGACAACGAGCCCCTTGTAACTGACAAAAGGCTCCTTCTCGGTTGTTGGACCTTGGGTTGGGGGATATGTTGTTTGGTCCTTTGGTCTTTGGTTTTTCGACCCTTTTGCTGTTTGAAAACTGAGTGTCATCCTTTTTGCACAACAACTAGAGCGTTTTTAAAGTAACATGCATGTGCAGCACGCTTACTTACTTGCTGTGTTGGGACCGAAATAATGACTTTCCACACAGGACCATGACAGTTTCCCCGCTCAGATACCAGCGCAAGACGGAGGCTGACCACACATCAATCCACAAGGTGCAGTGTGCTTCTTGACAGTTGGAAAGAAAACTAGGTCCCTCAGTAGTGCCCTTTGACCCTTTTTGGGGGGAGGGTTCCCCTACTAAAGTAGACTACAGAGAAAGGGGTACCCTTATTCTAACCTCTCTACTGGAGGACCTGGAAAACGACAGCCTTAAACACGAGGTGTTTCACTTTGTAGGTCTCCACAACTTCCCAGCAGTGAATTCCATTTCCACGGCGCAGAGAGAAACCCAAGGCCCGGCCACTGCCGAGATGCCGCAGAGCTGGGCGTCACTGCCGTGTGCTCTCGGCTGCATAGCTTCGAGCAACCTAAAATTTTGGTACGTCTTATGGGGGACACCAGAATTGGTTACTAGGTCCAGTGGGTGCCCTTCTCTCCAACCTTTTTTTGGTTGGGAGATTCGGTTCCCCTGCTAAAAGAGACTACAGAAAAAAGTTGGTACCCTTCTTCTAACCTCTCTGCTGGAGGACCTAGGTTAGTTGGCGCTGCTGGTTTCCGGTCGAAACTCAAGAAAAGACACACCCATAGAGGCTGAGTTATTCACAGTTTGGTTCCTATGATCATGTAGCTTGGTTCAATATGGCCGTGGGTCAAAACCAATGTTACCATTTTGGGGTAGGTGCACCAACCACTTTAGTCTATTTAGTGGAGATTGGGATGTTCACTGGGGGTACGGGATTTTGACCCATGGCCATATTACCCCACACCCTGTTCCAACTCTTATGACCCCTGCATTACTCACCTGACTTGTGTGGAGAAAGGCTGGCGATGGTTGGGGTATTTCCACTTTGTTCAACCTACCCGCTTAATTACTCCCCCAAACGACGCCCAAAACCTGACGCCCAAAACCTGACGCCCGAAACCACCCTTCAACCCACCCAATGCATCCATTCAACCACCTTTCAACCCACCCCAAACCAACCTACCCGCCAAGATCCATTTGGAGAGAGGTTTGTGATGGGTGATGGCATTTCCAGTTCTACTGCGCAAGCAAGGCCGGAGATTTACCAATTGACTGGCGCTGTTTTGTTCCCGCTCAAGCGGACTGTTCAAGGGTGGACGTGTGATTGATAAAATAAGTCTCGACACACTGCAGTGGCACAAAGTTTGTTGGAGGTTGTCTTGCCACGGATGCTCACGGAAGGGACGTGTTTCTTTCACTTGTTATTGAATTATATACTGCTGTGTGTGTTCTTTGCGGAGTTGAAGGGAAAACAAGCTACGCAACTGCAACCACATTTGGTTGGTCTCTGAGGGGCTTCTTATCGCAGTGCCGCGTGGGCAGCAACAGCATATGCTAATTTAGGATTAACCCGGCTCTAGGACCATGTTAATCCGAGGAAGTCCGGAAGCGGAAGCAAAGATTCAACAATAGTAGCAAATGGGTGCGTCTTAAAGTAGCGGAACTCCCCAAAAAGGGTGCTTTTCCTCTCAGTTTCCCTTTGAACCCGACCCCAACTTGTGCCGCAGAAGGCGGCTTCACGGAAGGTTCTCCGTGTCGCGGAAGGGGCTCAAACGTCCAATCAATCTTACAGGGAGCAAAATGCACCCAAGTAGCTAGAACCCAAGGAGTCCCTCCCACAGATTTCTCTACAAATGATTTTGAGGGTTCCATGTGCAGGGAAGTAGCTGGGCACTAAGTAGCATCTATATAGTTTCAGTGGTTTAGCGCTTTCGCTTGTTGCGCGGCTCCAAAATAGCTCGCTTCCTGCAAATGGTTGTGCCTTGTTCGAGGGTGCCCCCGTGTTTTGTGGTTTTATCGGGAAAACCCAAAGGAAAACCATGCGCGGCTCCAAAGTAGCTCGCTTCCCCTGTTTCCTCGGGAAAACCCAAAGGAAAACCGTTCGGCCATTTTTTTTTGGGGGGGCCGTCTAACCATTTAGACCCAACTAGCTCTCCTGAGCCTGGGCTTTTGTTGCCTTAGATTCCAGGCTGAAGGCTTGTGATGAATGCACCCAACTTGTTGACAGATGGGAGTTAAACCAAAACTTAGCCTCTATAAATAGGGGTGTCTGTCGTTTTCGCCGTACCCGAAAATATAAGCGTAAACAATCACGTAAATAAATCAAGCTTTCTGGTTGGCCTGGCCCTTAATAGGAAGAGTCCGTAAATAATATGGTAAATAGTGAGGTAAATTAGTTGTAACTTATTTTGGCTTGCCCGATCTTGAGTGACCCTGCGTGAGCTGGACTTAGTGTCCCTCATTGACAGGGATGTGTATTGGCGAGAATCTTCCCCTTCGCGAATTTAACCTGCTCATATCACTGAAGGAAGGCAAAACGTCATGAGTCATGAACCATTGGAAGAGCCGCGACAACTTTGACATGAATGTTCATGCGTACTGGTAGCTGCGAGCCACAGTTTTTGCTCGCGAGCATGTGTCGCGTTGGCAAAGCCAAAAAGCTCCGGACGCAAAAGCGCGTGCGCCCATGCTTGCGCTTGGGTTGCGTTGCCATGCTAATAAGCAGCCAGAACCCCCACCAAGATACATGTCAATTTGTGTTTAGTGATCATGAGAAAGGAGATGTTGTAGGAACCGAGGACTAGGAACACTGCGTCTTGTCAAAGAACGTCCGGTATGTCCGGTCATTGGTTATGTCAGCTGCGTGAACAACATTAAGAATATTCGAGGGCGCTTTCCAACAATCAAGACTTAGTCAGCTATTTGTTGGGCGACCTTGCGAGGGCCAATCTTGAAGAACATCAAGATTAACGTCTATATTCCTAACATGCACCTGGCGCACAGACACACAGACACCACCCACACACACACAAACACACATGCACACACGACTCTACGAGGTTGTCTCCGCGTGGCGCTGATCCAACCAGTCAGGAGTTGCAAAGGACGATTTTAAGCCTTGCCTTCTTGCAGCTTTGCTTGCCGCGTTGTGGTACCGTCGCGCGGTTTTTTTTTTTTCCTTTGCCGCGGCTCCGCCTTGTTTGTCCGCAAGACCCAGGGAATCCAAGAACCGATTCCAGAAACCCAGTTGAGCAAAGGCCGGAAAAGAGGAGCGATCGATGCTGTCACATGTGCACGCAAGTTCTGCGGACGGACCTCCATGCTCAAAATGTGTCCCCTGAACGGTTCAGAACGGTTCAGCCAGCCTTTTTCTGCGTAAATGGTTGCGTAAATTTTCGCGTAAATTTCAGACAAGTCTTTGCCTTTTTGTGCTTTGAGATTTCGGATCGCTTGCGATGTTCCGATGCCGGCCTGACCATTTACCTAGGACTAGGAACCGCCAGCCGCGTGCTCACGAACCGTTCCGAGGAACGGTGGCAACCAAACTGCATGCCCCTGAACCGTTCTGAACCGTTCCGAAAGCATTGGAACGCTTGCCCCTGAACCGTTCTGAACCGTTCCGGAGGCATTGAAACCGTTCTGAACCGTTCTGGAGCCCATCTAGCAAGCAGCGCACAGAGCAGGCGTATAGTTCAGAACCGTTCTGAACCGTTCTGAACCCTTCGTCACTCAAGCTTCCCAGGAACCGTTCTGAACCGTTCAGGAGGGATTGCAGCATCATACTATGAACCGTTCTTAACCGTTCAGCAGTCATTGCAGCGGCATACCCTGAACCGTTCTGAACCGTTCAGGAAGAATTGCAAGCAGCATGCCCTGAACCGTGCTGAACCGTTCAGGAGGGATTGCAGCATCATACCCTGAACCGTTCTGAACCGTTCGGAGACATTGGAGCTGCGTACCTAGGAACCATTCCGAAGATTGCACCAGCATGCTCAGGAATTGCTCTTGCTTCTGCTCACGCATGCTTAGGCTTACCAACCACGTGTTTAAGACTTAAGATGTTTGGCCTCCTAACATTCGCACGGCAGCTGCTAAGGATTTAACAAAGATCATTCAATCAACACCTTGGGCGCTTGTTATGGAGATGGGAGGGGCGCGTTGGAGCCTTACCTTGTTTGTGCCAATGTTTTGCCATTGGCTTGTCTGATTGTGCGCCTTTTATCTCTGTTCAGGCCTGTTACATGGCAAATGATGCAGCTTCCAGCTTCCAACACTGAGGCACACATTGTTTACATGATCTTTTACGTGTTTCTTTAAGGCCTGTTTTTGTTTACATGAATACTTACATGAAGAGTGACGTGGTTTGTTACATGACTATTGGCCGGTTTTAACCTCCACAGAGATAGAGGCTAAGTTTTGGTCTAAGATGGGAGTGTCTTTTTGGGAGAACCCCTTTTTCTGGTGTTTTTCAGCGGAAGCTAACAGGAAGAGCATCCATTTGTTCTGTTTTTTTGGGAGGGGTCACCAAAAAGAAACACCCTCAAATGCCAACAATTAGTCCCTATTTGTGGAAACCATTAAAGTGGTGGTCTGTCTGCAGTCTGAAAGCCCAGCGCAACGCTTGACAACGGGTTACCTTTTTTCTGAAAACCTACCAACGGGGTATGCATGCAGAGTGCCGATGCACAAACGAGTGTGTGTGTGTGTTTTGTTTGAGGGTACCCCCAAGGTTGTTTGTGGGTTTAAAGGGCAACAAACAACCACAATGCTGGGTGTGTTTGCCCCGCGGGCTTTTCATGATGCCAGTACCTAAATGACTCGGTTTGTTCGAGAGGTGCCTAACCCCCCTTTTTTTGGTGGGTCTACAAGGCAAAAAAAAGAAAAAACAACCACTATGTTGGGTGTCAACGTCCGAAAAAGCGACACCCAAATCATCCAGAGGCTTTGTCCTCGCGGCCTCACGCGCGAAGTCTGGACAGTGGCAGTCCGGGCAGCTCAGTGCGCGGGAACCCGCCCTGGAAATCAAAGACTTGGCGCTGGAACCCGCCCGGTTCCAGAAAGGCTTGAACGAGGTCCCCCAGCGATCGGTGCCCTTTCTCTCCCCTTTTTTGGTTGGGAGGAAAACCCCTGCTAAAATAGACTACAGAAAAAAGGTACCCTTATTCTAACCTCTCTACTGGAGGACCTAGTAGTTCTTAGTTGGCGTAGTGGTTGGGTTTCCTTTTAATCCGCAAGTTGAACTCTTTTGGCAAAAGATCAGAAAACGGACAGCCCAGCAAAGGGAAAGCGATTCTTTTGCCAAGCGAAACCACTGATCCAGTGCCAGTAGAGCTAGGGGTGGGCGTTGCAAGCATTGCTCTACAATCCGCGTCCGGCGCGGGCCCTAAGAAATCACAAAATAGTACTTGCATAGAAAAGAAAACCATATGTTCAAGCCAGTGAGATTCTTTATAGACAGGTCTTGGATGAGAAGAACTATATTTCGCGACACAAAGATAGAATATATCCAACCAGTTTCTCATATAGAAGACGCAGCGGTGGGGGGTTAGACAGGCCCGCATCATTTAGAAGAAATGCATTTTGCACGGAGTAACTCTTGAGGTTGTTTTTCTCATCCCAGACCATGTTTGTCACAGTTCTGCTGCATTTCTTCTAGATGCTTTTTCGATTTCGCACATACATGACACAGATTTATATTTATTCTATTTTATTAATCTTGGGAAATGGAGGAATACTTGCGCAGAGTACCTCTGGAAGGGGTACCTTGGCGCAACTTTCCCCCTATAAGGGGGCCCGCCCCCGGAACCACTAAGAACTATCTAAAACCGCAGGCAAAAGTATAGTTTTCGGGAAGCACCCCAGGAACAACACAACAATGCATATAGAATAAACTCAACCCAAACCGCCACCAATCACAAAGAAGAAGTTATTTTCTCGCCTAGCGGCTTCTCCGATCATTTCGAAAATCCCCAACGCCTAGGCGAGAGGATGTGGCTTTCAGCCAAATCCTTAAGGGACCTGTAGTAATTGGTCCACAACTTGGCAAGAACCATGAGCAAAGCCTTGTGCTCGCTCCTCAGTCCTTCATTGATTGACCGTCCAACATTACTTTGGCCTGGGAAAAGGCCAATCCATGGCCCGCTCACAGACAAACAGTTGCCGCAGCGTTCACAGACCAACCGGGCCATTTGATGAGCCGCCGGCAGATCATGTAGAAGATCGTGACCGGCCACCCCCCCAATCGTATAGAAGATGTACCGAAGAAAAGTCGCACAGCGTACCTGCCAATACCTTTTTTCAACACGAACCTCAACCGGATCTTCTATATACTATGATCCTTGCCGGGCCATGCCAAAATGCTCAGATCATATAGAAGAAAGTCAAGGAGTAACATCTTCCATGTTTGCGTCGCGAAATATTTATTACAAACCAGTGACTCTTGATTATCTAGGGAAAGCGATGCAAAAGGCGACCCAACTGTGCTGCTTTCTGGTTTTGGAGGAAGGCTATGTCTCTGTTTCTTGGTTGGTGTTTCAGGGAGCCGACCCTATTGGCCAACGCTGGAGAGAGGCCGTGCTTCTCTTGGCAGGGAGTCAAAAGGCGAAGGTTTTCATGGGACCCTTCAGCCAGCTGTTTCCAGCTGGAGACATCAATGTCATCCTCGAAGACGAGCACGTCCTTGATCCAAGACGCTCACAGACGCATGGCAGACGCAGTCCGCAGACCTTGAAGAATTGAAGCCACGGTTCAGGGGATTCAACTAACAACTCTTAGTGACGCCCGAAACCGAAACTAGGATGTCAAAGCTTTTGACCCCTTTGGCACGTTGTTTAAACAACCTGGACCCTCAAACTACCCATAAAAGAATCGGATTCCAACCCACACTTTGTACTTTAAAGGGCGTTTTGAGGGAAAACAAACAAACAAAAGAAAGCCAACATTCTGACTCATGGGCATGACATGAATCTATTGTAATTTGGGGCTTCGTTAAGTCATTCGAATTCCCGATGACATATATTTTCCAGCTTATTCAAACTTCTCAACAGCGCCACCATACTTCCTGCCCAAGTCAGTCCCACCCTTTTGAGTGCCACTAATTGGGGTCTTCTCAAAAAGCATATTATCTCCGTTTGATTAAGTCCCAGCAGAATACAATGGCATATTTCCAGCAGTTCCCTTTGAAGCCAAGAGGGGAACAGACAACATGTTCAAAGGGGACCCCCACCACGTGGATTTTTTGCAAATCTCTCGGTGGCTGAGGAGCAGCAGTTCCCTCGCCCTGGCACCGTGATCGAGCCATGAAAAGAAAACCCGGCGTGAGCTGCAGTGGTTTTGTTGGGAGTATGATTCAACAGGGGTCCCGAGTTATTTCCTCTTCTTTTTTTGGCGATTTGTAACCCAAATGGTGGTTTATGTGGGGAATATCCCCCCAACCACCTTATTCCAAGCTGGTGAAAAAATATAATTCACCCAGATGGTTTAAAGGTTCATGACCTGTCCTATTCATAGGGTTACATAGGGGGTTACGTTGACCCCAGATTCATAAACCCGTCCTATCAATAGGGGGTGCCACAAAAAGATCCACGCCAAGGACAGGGGATGACTAAGCCACAATAGGAGCTGCCCGATCTACTTTCACCAAAGCGTGCATATCCATCCCCCCCTGTCCAAATCTATAGTCGTGGTTATTGTTTTCCTGGCGTGCTCAATCAACATCCAGGCACATCCAGTAGAGGGTAAGCCCAGTTGATTATTTGATATTAAGGGCACCCTCTAAGGGCTCTCTCGTAGATGTCCCACGTTGGTATCGCATGGCCGCCATGGGAACCAATAGCTCGGACGTGGTAAAGGGCTGAAAGTTTTTGGAAGGCCATAGGCCTGTCAGCTTTCATGGGAGTCGTACCACGGGTGGCTCGTTTTTTGTTTGTGTCCCCCCAATATGTGTATACTGTATAATATAAATACATTGTGGTTGTCCTTTTGGTTTCTCTTTAAGACCAACCAACAAGGGGTACCTCAGACAATGACACCCCCATTTGTTGACCGAACCGTGTGTTGGTGAGAGGGAGTATGGTTTTGGGTAGATTTCTTGGATTGCTTGTGACTCATGCGTCTTGCTGGCCTTAACACGCTTTCTTGGCCACGTTGTTGGAAGCACCAGGTAGCCATTTCACGTCCTGTTAGCTTCCAAGGGATCGCCAGGGTGCCACATGCGCAATGAGTTCAACTGCCCCTCCAATGGGTTAGGCTTTTCAGAAGTGAGATCCTTTCTGGCGCAGAGAGATCCTTTCTGCGGTCCGGCGCCTCAAAAGGTCGCCAAGGCTTGAACAAAGTGGACACGATGACCATCCTTGTTGACCAGCGGAAGGATAAAAAGACTGACGTCTTACATGGTACGCCCGCATCGGCTTGCAGACAAAGAGCGTTACAAGCAGAGATAGATGGGATCCATGACGCTGTGCCACGCTGCAACTTGCCTACAGATTGACATGAGCTCAACTTGGGCTTGGTTGTTCTTTTGTCATGCATCCAGCTCTTGTAAGCTTTTCCTGCCCCTTGCAAAGACAACCGGCTCACTCCAGACAGTCTGAAAGTTGCACCGGATGTCGCATTCTTTGAGCACTCGTTTAAGCACAAGTGCAGAACCCAAAAGGGCGTGTCGTTCTTTTTGGGGTGGGGCCTTATTTTTGGTGCTCCTTTTGGTTTCCCTTTAAACAGGTCAAACTAAAAAACACTCAGCAAAAAATGCACACCCACATATGTTGTTAAGTTCCCCCAAAGGAAACCAACATGGGGCAACCTGTGCATCTTAGACGCCCCCTCTTCAGCCAGATAGAGTGGTACCACAAACGCCTGCCGGATGCTGAGCCTTCCGTGCCCCAGCCCGCAAGTGCTGCCTCTGACGCCGCGCTCAGATGTGGTGCGCCTCGGGATTGCAAGCGAAGCCCAAAGTTCGGCTCCTTGAAAGGAGATGTGGCTGTGGCTCCAATAGACGTACCAAACTGGCCCCTGTGTAAGTGGAACCAAACAACTAAAACCTGCGTAATTAATCTTGGCTCTTGAATTTTCAGCCACTCCCATCCTCTGCAAATGAGATGTTTGTGTTTTGGGTTCCATGTGGTTGTATGTGGGAATTTTCTGTTTTGTCGTTTTTCTCCTCAGCTGAAAGCTTTTGGCGTCGATAGGCCTTCTGGAGGGTCACGGGGCGTTGGGGATACTTCCTGGAGCTTTTTTTGGGGGTTCCATGTGGGTGGTTGTATGTGGTTCCATGTGAATCAGAGTAAAGCGATTGACCTCACCAAGCGGGTTTGGTTTGTGATCGATTTGGGGGTCCCAATGAGGAAGGTTTGCCGGTGAGCTATTTTGATTCATAGTTTGTGCTTTCGGGTTCCAACTAGATGTCTTCTTGGTGGTGTTGAATCGGACCCCCTTGTTTGCTAATTCAAAGTTATTTTCCTTGTGGAAATGCAGGACATTGTTTCTTGTGTTGGACGCTGGTTCTTTAGTCCAACATGCGCTACCTGGCAGATGGCTTCCTCCGGTTTTTCTTTGGCATCTCTTCCCCCAAGTTGGCAAGCGCTCTACTGGACAGCGCCTCAGCGCCTTGCAGCCGCTTCGGGCATCAGTGAGCGCTTGATTCCCAGTCCAGTTGATCCCTCCAATTTTGCAGGTATGGCTCAGCCAATCCGAGTTTTTGGGGTGGGGCGAGGGTTCTCTTGGCCCCCGAAACCAAAAATGGGGCTCCTGTATCCTGCCTAACGTTGGTCCGAGAGAGGGCACGTGTCCTCACAAGAGTTCAAAAAGAATTGACATCGAAAATCCCCAAGGCATCTTCATGGTGAGCTGCCCCGCTCGACATGACTTCCGAGGATATCCTGGAAACAATAGGTGCAAACGCATGTACCGCAAATTACAGTTGGCTCAAAGAGCAGGCTTTTTCACCGTTCTAGTGGTGATCAGTTGCAAGTTCAACACAGAAACATGTAGTGCTTCTTCAGGTGCAACGCCTGAAGATTCATGCGCCATCGTTGCGATCCTTCTTCACGCTTGGAGCTAGGGGCGCGCGGTTGACCAATCCCCGGCCTCCGGAGGCCACCGGCGAGTTTTGTTTGGAATCCGTGGCCGTGGTAGAGATCCGATCGGGGGTGTCTTTTTGCCACCTTGGACAATTGATCGACCCCCTGACAGTGAAGGATTGATTTTTTCTGAGGGGGTCGCCAATTTTCTCACAAAAGGCGGCAAAAAGACACGCCTGGATCCGATGGCCAGGTGGAAAAGCTTGTGCGGTTCTTGCACTTGAAGGCTGAGACCCAGCAAGCAGACAAGGCGCGGCCAGGGGAATGAGTTTTTGTTCGTTACTCACCATACTCCTCTCTCCCTGAGTTCATGGACTTGATTTTTTTTAGTTTGCAGCATTTCATCTTTCGGCCACGGAAGTGACACACCCAGAAATCCGTTGGGTCTAGGATCCGTTGGGTTGCTTCGAAGTGATCCGCGTTTCTCTGGGGAGCACCAAAGAAGGGAACCCTGCCAGGACCTTTCAGACAAAGGGGGGGGCGGGGGTCATGCTGTGGATAGACGACATCCGTTCGTAGCACTTAGAAAGCATGGTTGAAACCATGATTTTTGTTGGCATTTGCAGTCGAAACATCCGGAACCTGGGTTTCTTAGGTGGTGCGAAATTGGTTTTGGCGATCCACTGTAAAACCTGCCCACTTTTACGCTCGCGAAGCCTCGCTCTCCACGTTTCTGGACTTTACTTGTTGAGACCATTTGCGCAGTAAACACCAAGAGCGGTCTTGCGCAACGGCCACTCCGGAAGTGTGAGGAGGGTTAAAAAGAAGCCCAGGCTTGGCCAAAAGGCCGGTTGCCCTTCCGCAGTTCGAGCGGTCTGTTTCGTTACCCCAAACCACTACCCCCACAGGGTGCATTTATCCTTGAAGTGGCACTAGAACCGCTGTACATCTCATTGAACCCTGAGGGGTCGATAGTGGTTTGGGCAAAGGAAATCCAGGATCAACAAAGTTGTTGGTTGACGAAAGGGGGGTGTCGCATTGTAGAGGGAATCCTTCACTTTGAAAGTACATCCCCCATCACAGGTACCTAGAGGTACATGGATCCACTGGGAAGTAGATCATGTTTTGTTTACTCAAAGGTCATCCAAAAGCTTGCTTCTTCCTTCCAGACCACACAGTTTTGCAGCGGCGCGTTTGGTTCTACCCGCCCACTTCGTGGTGTGAATGCAACATCTTTAAAGGACATACGGCCACGGCTTTTTCCACTATCTCCTAAGGCCCTAATTCTTGACAACCCTTCAAACACCTAGTAGAGTTTGAAACTCTCAACCAGACAAACCTCAAGACACAAACCCTAAAACCCAGCCTTGAAAGTCCTACACCCAAACCACCCTGAAGCTTAGGCAACAGCCCTAGAAACCCGAAGCCTAAAAAGAACAAATCCTAAAATGCCCAAGCCCACGGACCCGAACGAATAGACACGTGGGTGTGTTTGTTCTAGGAGATCACCCGAAATGGCGCAACGGCTTTCTTCTTGGTTTCCTTGCAAACTACACACATATAGGTTCCCCAACATGTTGGTTTCCTGTAAACCACAGAAATTGTTGGTGCCCCACATGTTGGTTTCCTGTAAACCACAGAAATTGTTGGTGCCCCAACATGTTGGTTTCCTGTAAACCACAGAAATTGTTGGTGCCCCAACATGTTGGTTTCCTGTAAACCACAGAAATTGTTGGTGCCCCAACATGTTGGTTTCCTGTAAACCACAGAAATTGTTGGTGCCCCAACATGTTGGTTTCCTGTAAACCACAGAAATTGTTGGTGCCCCAACATGTTGGTTTCCTGTAAACCACAGAAATTGTTGGTGCCCCAACATGTTGGTTTCCTGTAAACCACAGAAATTGTTGGTGGCCCAACATGTTGGTTTCCTTCAACAACGCCCAAATACAGCCCCCCCAGAAGAAAAAAAAGCCGAGCCCCGACAAACCGCCCCAACCGCCCCCACCGCCCCCACCCCACCCGCGGAAGTTCCCCAAAGAGGGCTCAGCTCTCCGCGATCGAGGCGCAGGCGCTGCTTTGGCGCTGCGCCGCGGAGGGCCGCGCCGTGCATCCCTTCGGGGCCTTGTCCGCGGCGGAGGACCGCGAGCCCCGCTAACGGAGAGTCGCAGTTGTTCGGAGTCGGAGGGCCACAGAAGGCCGCCCAAGGGCATGGCTTTGTTTTGGGTAGACCAGAAGTGGATGGCTGAAATGATGTTGAAATAGTGCCATCGTTTAAACAGGTCGGGGCTTGAATTGCTTACATCCCTTTTTGGGGGTTGAAACTCAGAACCATGTGTCAAGGTAAGGGATGTGGACCCTGAATGACTTAGGTCTTCCTGTTGGTTTGTCAAATCAACTTGAGAACTGCACCCTCGAAAAACTCCCAAACGAGGTTGCACTGTTTTGTGCAGAGCCCCACCAGGTCAGCCTTGATGTGGAGTATGTGAGGGGTAAATTTATGTGTGGAGATGTACACGAAAGTTTTGAATTGCACATTTCGGGAGAAAGGACGCACCATTTCAGGGGTCCGCAATGAAAAAAGACGCGAACACCTAGACCCCAGTTCAGGAGTGTGCCAAGCCTTTTGCTTGGGATGCTGTGCAAGTGGTTGGACATGAGGACGATTCTGAATTCTTTGCCAGTGCGACCTTGAATATGTTCCGACCTTTCAAACAGTTGTCGATTTCCCTAGTAGAAAAGGTTTACCCACCAACGCACAGGGAATCATTTTTTGGAGCCCCCTGGAAGACCCTTTTCTTAAGATGCGCTTGTGGGTTCCTGGTTAGGTGCTGCAACTTTCGGCACATCGGGCGGGTATGGCAACTTCACTTGACCTTGTGGTTTTCCCTGTTTGGGTATGTTTTTAGTAAAGGCCCCAAAAGGTTTACCTTTTATATCTAGGCCCCATGCGAGGCAACTGAGCAACATGGGTAGGGAGACCATTTTGGTCCCATCAACCCCTAGGATGGCGTTTCCCCTGGCGGAAGGTGCGACGCGCCATCGCCAAGTTCGAGCAGAAGAAAGAGCCCAAAGAGCGGCTGGGCAGTTTTTTTGCACGTTTTCTGTCGCAACCAACTGATCTTTTAATTATCTACCAAATAAATGTATTTCTGTATGAAGACGACATCTGCTAGAGAGAGAGAGAGAGAGAAAGAGCGAGATACTGACTGGGCCACAACCCCCAAACAAAGCTCAACTTGTTCTTCATTGATTTGTTTCTTTGTTTACTTATTTATTTGATTCAGGTATGATGTCAGTCATCTTTTTGCTAGTTTTCCCCATGGTCATTACATGGACCTATTGATCAACCCCCATTTCTTCGTTGACAATCTGCCCTTGTCAGTGCTTTAGGCACTTTGCCGTGCTGCAGGAAAGAAAGACCCTGTGCATGGATGAAGTTGTGTATACTCCATAGCGTGTGTGGTTCCTGCAGAAAATACCCGCGCAGCTGTGCCTGAAAGTCCGACTCATGGGGAAATACGACTTCTACACAATTCGGTCAGTCACGGTAACCTATGCACAGCACATGTTTCAAACCATGTTAATGCAGCTGACGCATGCTCTGCAATTACAAGGCTCCGCCAGGCAGCAAGACCAAACATGAAGAGCCACAGTGGATTGACTTCGGGCTCTGTTTTCTGCCGCCCTCCCCCCCCAGCCAAAAAAGCACCCCACCCCCCACGGCTGCAGGGGTGACAACAATTGAGTCAGGGTAAGGGACACTCCCTGCCATGAGTGCGGAGATCCGTCTGTTCAACTCTTTACCTGGTTCTGGGTAGACCGGTCCATGTTAAAAGCCATCGGTTTTGATGCCAGGTGCCTAATAGCCAAAGCCGGGGACATTGGAGAGACCACTACAGGTGGAAACGCATACAAGTGAGTTTATTGTTTGCTTGCCTCTAGCTTGCCGGTTTAAGGTCCAGAACTGTTTGCGAGATGTGTTACCTTGCCCAAAAGAGAACTGCAAAAGGGTTTTCCCAGAAGCCAGCTACAGGAAGTTCTGGTGAGTGAAGTATCCATCAAAAAACATGGGTTTGAAAATTCAATATTCCTGATTTCCCAGAATCAGCTTGTCGGAACGACTTATTTGGCTTTTCCCCAGTCACTGGTCCCGGAATCCAAGGGATGCGCCTGTGGAGGCGCAGCGAGGGCTTGTTTTGGGGGGGATTGGAGGCGCCGACAACGCCTTTGTGACTCTCTGGTTGGAGTTTTTCAGGGGAAGGTCTTTCTTGTTTTTGGTGGCTCCCAGCCATCCGGTTCCTTAGCCTTTTAGATGTTTAGTGTTTAGTGGGTAGTTTCCGAATATAACCCACTAAAAGTTAGTCACTTTTAGCGGAGGATCTGAGGGCAGCCCAGTTTTGGTGTCCTTTTCGAAGGGAAACCAAAGGGAACATCACCTGTTCTAGGGTCCCGTAAAGGACATAACCAGATTACTGGGATCCGCCAGATTTCGCCTGCCTGTTCAATTGTTCGCCTTTCGGCGTCCTTTAAATTCCCTTTCAACCAGCAGCAGGTCAATCATAAACATGGCATCGGTCTCTAAGTTGGAAAGAATGCAGGTGGGCATGTAGTATGTAGCTTTTCCCAGGGAGGCGGTCCGGCGACCACTGACCAGAATCGATGTTTGCTAGACCCACTATTTTGCACCTGTACATTTTAAAGTTCTGCCAGAAATAAATCGCCGCCCCTGAGGAATTTATCAATATACACCGGGTTGTCAGTCACTGACTGTGGGGTGTTCCTCTGGTTTCCATTTGCAATGGGGGCCACGTGTGCCACCGGTCACCCATCACTTCAGGTTGTAGTGATGGTCACACTTTTGTACTAGGGGCTTTAGACAACCATGACTTATCTATCCATGTGCTTGAGGCGTTGGAGCAATGCTGTTAAAGCAGGGGTGGGGCAACTACCTGTTGAAGTTGTGTTCAAATTTACCGTTTGGGTGTCTCCCTACACCGTTTTTGGCAATTGGCGGTTTCAGCCTCGCAATGGACCAGCCCTTCCTATGCGTCAGGCGCCCAAGGATGTCCTGAGTCTCAGCCGGGGCCCCATTTGCTGAAAGAGCTCTCGCGCGCAAGGCAACTGTGCAGGCTGGAGGATAGCATGGGTCCCAATGGGCAAAGTCAAGCTCAACAAAGTCTCAATGCACAGTGCATCGGCTGGACCTGACCTAAGCTGGCCTATTGTTAGTAAAGCTTTAAAGTGTGATCTCTTTTAATTGGGGCAAGTGAGACCCTGAAAGACCACTAGGTAGGTTGACGCTAAAGAAACAGTCGTTTGAACATGTTTGAGAGGTTGGTCCTGAAGGATGGTGAGTTCTTCACTTTGCTGTTTGGTGTTGCGCGTTTGTTTGGTCAGTTCAGGACGAGTTGGCAAAACAGAGTTGAATATTGTCCCGTCTCTTTCTGGGGTTTTGACTGCATTCTTTCCTTAAGGCTTCCTCTTGCACACTCAGGGGGTTCAGGGCCGTGTCACAAATTTGGACCGCACCAGAAGCTTTGAAGTGAAACTGACCACATTTGGCCACCTTTTCCTTTCCTCAGACCCATGGCCTCAAACTGGCTATGCATTTTCATGGGGAACCCCCTCAACAGCGGTTGGTGGACACACATCCCCACCTAAATGATGTCTACCAAAGGGTCCTGGTTCAAGTTCAGACGGTCTGACCCATAAAAATACAAAAAACCATTTCGCAGAGGCGGATCACTGTCCCCCTATGGCGGGCTTCATATCCAAACGGCGGCTCGCCGGATGGCGATCACCGCCGGACCGCTTCCGCTTCCATCGCTTTTCCGCGGAGGCCGGGGCAAAGCGCGGCCGCAAGTTGCCGCTGGACAGCACCAAAAGGGCGATCGGGCGGGCGCATTGGCGCATGGTGCGTCTGCAGAGTAGCCTAACCGAATGAGGCATAGTGTGGATTGCGTCTAATCCGTTCGCACCACTTGAAAACCATCACAAACCATCGATGGTTGGTATTTATTTTCAGGAGAATCAGCATTCCAGGGTTTCCCCTTTACCCCCGGTTGATGTTGATCAGGGGGTGTCCCCTTTTAGTGGTTGCATTCAGACCACTTTTGGAGGGAACACCCTCCGAATAGTGGGACGGGTTTATGAATCCTGGGTCAACATTAGCCGAACAGAAAGAGGCACAGGTGTCCTTTTGAGTCTGCGCTTGCATACTAATACAGGGCACTGCTTTTGAAGGCTGCCTTGACTGTAATGGAAGCATGGTAGTTACGGTTTTGTAGAGGCTGAACCAAAAGGCCACCTATGGAAAGAGGCTTAAGAAAAACAACACGGGTGTGTCTCACAGGGGTCATTAGTTTGACTGCGGGGGTATCAAAGTCAGAAACCTGGGTGGTTTCCCTTTACCCCGTAGAAACATGATTTGGAGCGTTTTTGTTTTTCCTCCTTTTTGTTTTTCCTTTCGGATGGGACCTTTTTGCAGATAATTCCTGTGAATGTGAAGAAAGTTAATTAGTAGAAGGAACCCCATCGAAGCATGATTTTGAGCCTGACAGTAGAAATTATTCCACCATGTGCGCCACACGATGAAGGGACATGATTCCACTAATTTGCAACCCAAGGAGACTCTGATGTTCAAAACCTTTTGTTTTTGCGAAATGACCTTCTTTTTAGTATCGTTCTGTAGAGTAAACAGTTTTTGGGTTCCATGTCAATACTGGACTTTTCCGTGTTGATGCGGTGCTCAACGGTTTATGGCCCTGCCTGACGGTGTTGTTCGGAGCTTTCTTGCATGAGACGCCGCGGGCATAGTTCTGCGCGACCAATATGGTCCTCATCTTTGAACCAACTCATCTGGGTGCCCAATAAGCGCCCATGATAGGAAGCCCAAGTTCATGTTCTAGTTTTTTCCCCAAGCCCTGGTTTTACAACTGCTTTGCCCAGCTGTGTGGAGACCTCAGGAATCCCGAGCCTTTCAGAGCCCAAGGCTCATGCGGAATTTCCCTCAACCGGATTTCCCGAAACCCACGGGACCCTACCCAAAAAGAACCTTCCGGGCTGGGAAAAAAATCGACACCAAGCCACATGAACCGGTACCTGCTCAAGTAGGCCAAGTTGGCACAGCTTTTTTGGCGGAAGTGACTTCCCTCCTTTTGCTTAGGACTATCTAGGTGCCCCAGCGATCGGTGCCCTTCTCTCCCCTTGTTTTGGGGGGAGGGTTCCCCTACCAAAATAGACTACAGAAAAAAAGGGTACCCTTATTCTAACCTCTCTACTGGAGGGTGTTAAAGGGAATCTACCACTACTGGACATATTTTGATTATATCCAGTTAGGCAAATAGAAGCTTCCCATTAGGGTAGCATCCTTTAGTAGATCTCGCGCTCACCTTGGACTCGAGCCCAAGTTCCAAAGACTTGGGCATGTCTGAATGTGGAACCAGCAAGGCTGTGGTGATTCATGCAAAGTGTTCTTTTGGGCACGTCTGAATGTGTTACAGCAACCCTGGTGCAAAGAATAAGCTCATGCAGGTGAAAAAGCAAGCATGTGGTGCTCTTTTTAGTGCTCGCACCACCCCGCAGCCCTCTACCTCAGGGCCGCCCGGGACCACCCCGGAGCCTATCTGGGCTGAGACCCCAAAGCTTTCGGCTGTTGGGGAAAAACCACAGGATCTACTTGGAGGGTTGACTCGGCTCACGTGGCTTAGGTCAAGGACCTCGCGCTGGCGGCTGAGTCGCTGAGTCGAGTCGGTGGATCTGGACGGAGCGTTTGTCTCCAACTTTTGGGGTGGGGTGACCCGGTCAAAAATGGCCGCGGTGAGAATACCCCTAAGCCTGCGGTCCAATTCCTGGTGGTTTAATTTTGGAAACCCAAGGGTTCTCGCTCTTTCTCGATGGGCTGGGGTGTTTTTGAAGGCCATGGCCTTGAGTTCTCTGAGTCGTTACTAAAGCGCTGTGCCCATTAGGGGTGAGTGACTCTGGGCAAGTGACAGCGATCTCACAAAGGAGTTTTGGAGGTTTCTTGATTTCAGGCTGGTGAATTATAGTCATTGCAGAGGGTTCTGGGGGGCAATGGGCCGTTGGGGCCATGTCGCACATCGGATTGGCACCGAACTGCTTCTGGATGGTAAAACGCACTAACCGGTTGGATGTCCATTTAACCCGCAAAGTAAACCTTTAGCAGGGGATCCGTATAATTATGGGGTGGACATGATGGACATGACGTGTTTGTTTTGGTGATTGGGACATATCGGCAACGTGGCGAAGCCCAAGACACCGTGGGACTAAGGCTCTACTTGAGATCGCAGACCCCAAAGAGGCATGTCTCGCGCCCGGAGGAAGACCTGCATGTCGAAAGTGAAAGGGCTGTGGTTGAAATGGAATCCACTTCCTGTGATACAGCAAAACAGGGCTTCCCAAAGACTAAGCCCCCAGAAAGAAAGGGGGGAGATTCCCGAAGGTATCACAGAAGTGGTTGGATAAACCCTGAGTGATCCAACAACCCTGGTGGGAAAGGACTTGTGGCTGTCCTTTGGCCACCACCAAACAGCTTTCCGGTTTTGGACATCCTCCTTTTTTTTTCTTCCTAAAGGTAAACTAACCATGTGTTCAGCGTTCTTGTCGCGGTTTTGGATTGTTTGTTGGTTGTTTGTTCACTTAGGAAGGCAGCTAGTTGTTTGTTTGTTTGTTCGTTCGTTTGTTCGTTTGTTTGTTTGTTTGTTTGTTTGGTTGTTTTCTTTTGAAAGGGTATGTCTAGTCGAATCTAGGCAGTATTTACAAAGTTTAGCCATAATTAGCAATCCCAGTTTGTCTTCTATGCAAGGTCCTTTGTAACTTTATGGATACCCCGTTTTGGGGTATCCACTTCTTATTCTGAGGGGAACTCAGGTAAGCCACAACTGCACTTCTCCTGGCTCGGTTTTTGTTTGGTTGTGTGATTATTCGTTTGTTCACGTCTAGTGGAAGTGAACCAACAACATGCTAAGATAATGGGGATGGGAAGTTTGGAGTTTTGGATGGAGGGAAACCAGCAAGAAGTAGTTTCTAAATGAAAAAAGCTAGCGAGACCAAGAGGAGGGGCTTCACATTGAATGCACACCCCTGACGCGAAATCAAGAGGAAACCGACCTCTGCACGCAGACAAGCCATGCAGGGGTTCTGTTCTCTTTGACTCATCCAAGCAGCTCCAAGTTGACTTTGAGATTAGATTTCAGCAAATCCTGCCTAGACCGGCATTGATTGAATTCGGCGTGGCATCGGAACCGATGTCGCATTTCCTTGCGCGGAACAGGAGCCGAAGTGTCAGAGAAAGGGATTGCAGAAAAATCCGGCAACCGCTTGCAAGTCGTATGGTATAGGTCAGGGTGTGTGAAAACCGGGACCTCTATGGGTTTTCTCAATACTTTGGAGGGGCGAGCTAGTTTTGCAGCTTGTGATTTCCCTGTTTTGGAATCAAACAGCATCACCTCTTGGTCCGAGTTAAAGCGAGGTTGGCTTTGCTGGCTGATGTTTCAAGGGAGCACCTGAGGAACCCTGATGTCTGTCCAAAGGCAGGCCCAACACGTGAAGAAACACACGCAAACCAAACCCTCTGCCTGAAAGGGACCCCCCTGATTTCAGGCCTTTCTGGGTTTGCCATGTTTTTCAGGCTACTCCTGTGGTTGGTTAAAAGGTAAACTAAAGGAAACACACATCATTTCGGACACTGTGTTGGAAGATAATTATGGAACAATGCATATCGATGGAACCATGAAAATGGATCCGATAAGCATTAAAAACACAAAAAACGACATTGCAATTGGCTGACTTGTCAAACGTGGGGTTGCACTAGAAGCAGGAGCAACTTGGTCGTGGTATATGGGTGCATCCTGTTCAACTCGTTTGGACATTGCGTTGCCCTTTACACCATGGTCTGTTTAATGGTTCCAAGGGAAACTACAGGAGCACACAGCCATCATGTTGGGATCCGGACATCGTCTTGCAAGACAACATGGTCTTTTGCACAAACATGGTTTCAAGGGAGACTAAAGGGAAAACAACGTCATTTTCAGGGTTGTCGTTGGGGAACATTTTACCTTTTTGTTTTTTTTGTGGTTTAGTGGTTGAAATCCAACCACTTACCTGCTAGAATTTAGATGTTTGATCCCTTCCAACTTCGATGCAGTTTTGGGTATCTTATGGGTGTGGCTCAAAATTAAACAGGAGGGGCAACCCGCAGGTTTTGGTACCCATGTCTCCACTTACCGATCGGGCAACCCATTTTGGGATTCCGGTTTTTTGAGCCACGGCCATCCCGTGCCCCCAGTGAACATCCCAATCCCCACTAAAATAGACTAAAATGGGTGATGCACCTACCCTAAAATGGGGTCCCTTATGTTTTCAGCCACGCCCTTCGAGACATCTGGTGCCAGCCCGGAGGCGCTGCAACTCCGAGCAGATGCTGCGGGTGGCCGCAGAGCGCCGTTGGCAGGTGGCAGGCGGGGGGGGAGGGGGGGATTGGGCGCCCAATTTTTGGGGTTCTGTCCAGGCAGATTGGAGGATGTTGGATGAACCTGTGTGTTTTTGGTTTTTTTCCAGACGTGTTTTTTTGCATCAAATGTATTTGTTGTTTTGTTGCAGAAGACAAAACCGGTGTTGTTCAACTGCTTGTCTTGCATCAAAGGTTTTTGTGGTTTTGTTGAAGAAGCCGACGCAGTTTCTGAAAGGAAATCACACGGAGCACCTCCCTGTTTGGGGGTCCCCGAGGTTCGCTTCGCCGGTCAACCGTCCAAATCCGATTTCCTTCACCAGAATTAGCTCCCCTTTTTCCTTTTTTGCTTTCTTGGGGGTCCCCTTTGTTTTCCACTAACCAGGCAAAAAATATATATATATATATATATGTATATTTTTGCTGGGGTCCTAATTCCAGCCAAGATCCTTGGTCAATGGAAGATGCAGATCATGACATTTGTCGGGTAAGACTGGTTGGAGCAAGACCCCGTCCCTTGTGAAAGGCAAACCAAACGGAGGCCGAAACAATGGGGGTGTAGACATGGTTGAAGAAGGGGGTAGCCCAACCCTGCTTCACAGTGATGTTGCTCTGCTTGCCACCAAAACGAATCGACCGGATCTGACCTTTTGATTTTCCACATGAATTCCAGGTTTAGCGGATCAAAGAGATGTGGTTTGTATTTCCGGGTGCTTCAGCCAGGTAATATTGACCCAGATGCAAGTAGAGCCTGGAGCTATCTAATTATATATATATATTAATGAGCTTTCGTGGGACTTGGTTGTTTCACGCTCTGGGTTGTTTGGCTTGCAGTGCTGCCAACTTGAAGGCCAACGCCAGCCAGGGGCCCAAAATACTTTGCCCGAGATGGCAGCAGGAATAGCGGAACAGCAGAGCAGCAGTCAGTCAAGAGCAGAAGAGCAGCAGTGGCAGTATGAAGCGGACAGCGTCGGCGATGAGGGCGATAAAGCGGCCGGCCGCGAAGCCCAAGAAGAAACTCGCTTCGAGGACTGCTGGGCTCAAACTGCAAAAGCCGAATCCTTCTCAGGAATGTCCTTGTCTCCTTCTCGGCCTTTTGTTGATCAAGCAAATGTTCTACTCTTCGGATGGGGGGCCAGAAGCAAGATCTGTTTCAAATCTTGCAAAAAGCCAGAGCAATACCTCGCCTCATGTGAGCATTGGTGAGCTGCCGCTGTAACCGGAAGGATTACTTCCAGCAATTCGCTGGGCAGAAGGCCCAAGTAACCCAAAAACGTGAAGATTGGGGCAAGATCAACTCAGAGGACAAAGCTTCTTAACTGCACACAGTCTGACTGTCAGTTGTCGGCGGTGTTTGTTTGCTGGATGGCAGCAAGTACGGGTTCTTGCGGTTTCCCTTGCTTAGGGTATAGGTATAGCCCTTTTGGTGAAAGCAGGTGCCCCAAACCTTACTTTTTGTGGAAAACGATGCCCTAAAACTAAGGAGCCCGTGGTGCGGGCAATGTTCAACTGCGACCAGCAGTATGACCCTGCAAGCCAACCCCAGCACTTGATGGCGCCTGAAGATGGCGCCGATTCAGACTTATTTCTTGCCTCTGATATTTAACCTGAAAGTTCCAGCCTATCAGAATCTGAGGGCAGTAGTTGTTTGGCACCCGCGTGTGCCAGACACGGCGGCCGTCAAACCCCACCTCTCGACAATCCTGTTTGCGTATCGGCGCTACAGGCCCTGCTTCGGGTGGGGAGCAGTACTCTCCAAAGAACTCGCTCTGGGGAGCGTGATGCACGAACCACAGGCGGGAGAAGGCGCCGAAGCACCCAACCTTTGGTTTCAGACTGGAAAACAATGTGTTTGCCAAATGGGTTTGAGTTGTCGTGTTTTTGTGGGAGACCTACCTGTCCTGCCCTGAATTGATGCCTACAGACTTCAAGCTGCCCAATGGGCGATACGTGGTGTCCCAACGCTGGACCCTTCTTGGTGGGAAGGGCTGGCTACTTTTTGTTTTGCAAACCCTGCGCTTTCTCGGCGCCAGGAGAAATTGCGCCCGCAGGCGGAGGATTTCCTCCGGTATTCTCTGGAAGCCTTGAACCACAGCCAGCAGAGCAAGTTGGCAGGAAACACGCGGCGCCCCTCAGTTGTGCAACATGGAACTTTATTTTCTTTGATTGCTTCGTTGTTCAGTTCTTGTTTCTGTGCGGCAGCAGCTTTGACTGTTGTGGCATGCCGAAAGCCTACTGTCTGGTCATCCCGCGATGCGCACAGAAAACCACCATTTATTCAGAGCCCGTAGAAGGCTCACCTGAAATGCGGGCGGACTAGGACCATAGGCTGTGTAGCAAAAGGAATCTGTCCAATTTGGCAAGCTGCGGTGAAGGAAACAGCCTGCGACCCTTCCATGTCCATGTTCTGTCCGCTTGTTGCAACGTCTGCTTACTTCCCCACATTCTGACATTGAATCTTGAGATTTGGTTCAAGGGCCCAGGAGAAACACCATGACCCCCAAGAATATTGCGAGAAGCGGAGGAATTGCCTCCCAAGCGAAAGCTATCACATCGGAGGGGGATGCATGGAATCTTGCGTGGAAGCTCAGCCTTTGCCGGAATTGTCTTTGAACGCTGAGGGAACTCTGTAATTATTTTAGAAAAGACATAGCTCACCGTGCTTGGCTTGCTGATTCCACAGATCGACTTTTGGAAGGGTCCTGGGACATGGTAGCACCAGGTCTCTTAGATGACGGTTCCTCAGCAGCTACGCTAAATGGTTCTGCGCTGCCTGGTTTCAGGAAGGGTCTGGAAATCTTTCAAAAATAGAAAAATACCAGGTTGCTAAAGATGAATAATCGTTCAAGTTGAGCAAGATCGAAACCATAAAGAATTTGCCGGGAGCCCAAAAACTCAGCGAAACTCAATTCTCTTGGCTTCAGAGTTTCGCCGAGGACCTCTGCGAGGTCCTCAGCCAACCCCCCCCCACCAGCCCCCCAAGAAGCCGCGTGTTGCTATCCAAGTTTTTCGTTATTTTAAGGAAAGTGCTTTTTGGCACCCCGTGGGGTGGGGTTTCGCCGAGGACCTCTGCGAGGTCCTCAGCCAAACTTCGGTTTTACTCACCCATCAAGTTTCGCCGAGGAATTGGGCGTTTGGTGCCACCCAAGCGTGTTTTTTGTGTTCCCGGAGGCGGGTGACCAAGATATAGCTTTTTAAAGGTTGAGCCTGGCTCCGGGGTCCAAGCCTAGCAGGCAAAGAGTGTAAAACCAATCGAAACACTGAAGGGTTTGTGGAAGGGCCACCTCTAGACTGCAGAACTTCTCTTGTAGTGTAGCTGCTGAGGAACCGTCATTTAAGAGACCTGGTGCTACCATGTCCCAGGACCCTTCCAAAAGTCGATCTGTGGAATCAGCACGCCAAGCACGGTGAGCTATGTCTTTCAATGTCCCCCCGTAAGGCATGGCCCTAAAGGTACAGAGTTCCCGCAGCGTTCAAAGACAATTCCGGCAAAGGCTGAGCATTAGGCGGGAGAGACGTTCCAGAAGCATGCCTCAATGAATGCGCGCTTTCCACGCAAGATTCCATGGCCCTGGTCAAAGGGCAAGCATCATCCAGGTTGTTGCAAACGGCCCTGCTGGCACCCGCATTTACCCCCGCTTCTCGCAAATCTCAAGATTCGATGTCAGAACGTGGGAAAGTAAGCAGACGTTGCAACAAGCGGACAGAACATGGAAGGGTCGCAGACTTTTTCCCTCACCGCAACTTGCACCAATTGGACAGATTCCTTTTGCTAAACAGCCTATGGTCCTAGTCCGCCCGCATTTCAGGCGAGCCTTCTACGGGCTCTGAATACATGGTTGTTTTCTGTGCGCATCGCGGGATGACCAGACAGTAGGCTTTCGGCATGCCACAACAGTCAAGACTGCTGCCGCACAGAAACAAGAACTGAACAACGAAGCAATCAAAGAAAATAAAGTTCCATGTTGCACAACTGAGGGGCGCCGCGCGTTTCCTGCCAACTTGCCCTGCTGGCTGTTGTTCAAGGCTTCCAGAGAATACCGGAGGAAATCCTCCGCCTGCAGGTGCAATTTCTCCTGGCGCCGAGAAAGCGCAGGGTTTGCAAAACAAAAAGTAGCCAGCCCTTCCCACCAAGAAGGGTCCAGCGCTGGGACACCACGTATCACTCATTGGGCAGCTTGAAGTCTGTAGGCATCAATTCAGGGCAGGACAGGTAGGTCTCCCAGAGAAACACGACAACTCAAACCCATTTGGCAAACACATTGTTTTCCAGTCTGAGACCAAAGGTTGGGTGCTTCGGCGCCTTCTCCCGCCTGTGGTTCGTGCATCACGCTCCCCAGAGCGAGTTCTTTGGAGAGTGCTGCTCCCCACCTAGGGCCTGTAGCGCCGATACACAAACAGGATTGTCGAGAGGTGGGGTTTGACGGCCGCCGTGTCTGGCACACGTGTGCCAAACAGGCTGGAACGTTCAGGTTAAATATCAGAGGCGAGAAATAAGTCTGAATCGGCGCCATCTTCAGGCGCCATCAGTTGCTGGGGTTGGCTCGCAGGGTCATACTGCTGGTCGCAGTTGAACATTGCCCGCGCCACGGGCTCCTTGGTCTTAGGGCATCATTTTCCACAAAAAGTAAGGTTTAGGGCACCTGCTTTCACCAAAAGGGCTATACCTATACCCTAAGTAAGGGAAACCGCAAGAGCCCGTACTTGCTGCCATCCAGCAAACAAACACCGCCGACAACTGACAGTCAGACTGTGTGCAGTTAAGAAACTTTGTCCTCTGAGTTGATCTTGCCCCAATCTTCACGTTTTTGGGTTACTTGGGCCTTCTGCCCAGCGAATTGCTGGAAGTAATCCTTCCGGTTACAGCGGCAGCTCACCAATGCTCACATGAGGCGAGGTATTGCTCCGGCTTTTTGCAAGATTTGAAACAGATCTTGCTTCTGGCTCCCCATCCGAAGCGTAGAACATTTGCTTGATCAACAAAAGGCCGAGAAGGAGACAAGGACATTCCTGAGAAGGATTCGGCTTTTGCAGTTTGAGCCCAGCAGTCCTCGAAGCGAGTTTCTTCTTGGGCTTCGCGGCCGGCCGCTTTATCGCTTCATACTGCAACTGCTGCTCTTCTGCTCTTGGCTGACTGCTGCTCTGCTGTTCCGCTATTCCTGCTGCCATCTCGGGCAAAGTATTTGGGTCCCTGGCTGGCGTTGGCCTTCAAGTTGGCAGCACTGCAAGCCAAACAACCCAGAGCGTGAAACAACCAAGTCCCACGAAAGTTCATTAATATATATACATATGATTGACCGCTATGTTGATATTAGCAAACGAGCATGCATGTTGGTGTGGTGTACTGCTTCGACTCCATGCATCTCCGCGCCCCTCCTGTTCTTCGCTTTTGTCAGACCGCAGGCATTTGACTTGGCAATTGTACCTGCTTCTAAACCGCGCCGACATTTTGCTGATGGCGTCAGGCTTGGAGATGCCTTCTGCCGAGTCCAGCCTGCTGCCGCGGGATCTGAGCGAGGTACAGAAGGACATTGAGGCGACGGTACAATCTGAGATGATGCTCTTCGAGTCGCTGCTTGGCAAGTCGATCGACGCATCAGGTTTCCGCGAGCGAATACAGGGTGCATGGAGCATGATCGGAATGGTCGGAGCACTCACTCTGACCATGGATCAATACAATGAGCCGGTGACCTGCCCAAAAGATGTATCATCCCATGTGTTCATTTGTCAGTACGTGCATCCTTTACTCGCGGCGTGTTCGACTATTTTTGCTGCAGCCTCTGTTTTGCTGTCAATGATTTTGTACGTGGAGATGAGCTTTGTGCCAGATGAGTTCCTGGGTCCTTGGATGCGGAAGCTGTCCTGGGCTGTGGAGTCCCCCTTGCTTTGCTTCATCATCGGCATCATTTGCTGGGCCCTTGATTTTCTTTGGCGAGGAGCCTTGCAGTATGGCAACATGGGCTATGCAGTTGCTGCAATGGTTGTCGTCGTGGGTATTGGCGTGTTGATCATGTATCTGAAGCTGAAAGCAATGACAAACAAGTTCTTGCTTCAAGCAGCGGCTTCTGCTGCTGCGGCTTAGAAGCAAGTTGTAATGACGATCTTTGTCGGCCTAGATGCAATTTCACCCCAGAGGCCTTTACCACACACATGTTGTAGTGGAGCTTTGAGTGAATCAACCTCCAAAACTGCTCAAGAGGGAATTCATAAAATGGATCCACGACTCAAGACCCTAGACAAAGGGGACTCCAGGGACTATCGCATGATTCTTCTTTCTTTGCGGTTGGAGTGTGGCTTCTTTGGGATGAGATACACAGACGTGATTTGATTTTTGTTTGTCTGCGTCCGCTTGAATATGAGGTGAGTCTAGCTGCCATCAGGCACCTAAGCTGGGGTAGAGTTTGGATACTCTTTTTTTCTTCTTTTTTTGTTTCCCGTGGCCCCCTCCAAAGTGGTGGTTTTCCTTTTCAACACGGATACCCGCAAAGAGACACATCCACATCATGATGATGATGCTGGGACTGACGATGCAAACACCCTAGGCGTTTCTGATCGTCGTTTCCCGCTGGTGCTGGTCCGGCGCAGGTCGCCAGGATCATCCAGCCTGGATTTGTTCAACCCTCAAAGGGGGTGTCCCTTGCCGGCCATTTGCTGAAAAATATGTTGTTTGTTTTCCCGTGTTGGGGTTTAAAGGGAAGCGATCACTCCTGGAAATAGTTTTTTTTTCAGGGGACTTCGGCAAATGGAGGTTGCCGTGTTTCACCTCGCAAGGCGACTTCAGTCGGTTTTGAAAGGGCCGGGATGTTGGTTGGCTGGTAGCTGGTCGGTTGGCTGGTTGGGTTGGCTGGCTGGCTGGCTGGCTGGCTAGTTAGCTGGTTGGCTGGTTAGCTGGCTGGCTGGCTAGTTAGCTGGTTGGCTGGTTGGCTGGCTGGCTGGCTGGCTGGCTGGCTGGTTGGTTGGTTGGTTGGTTGGCTGGCTGGCTGGCTGGTTGGTCGGGATAAGTGGAGATCAGTGCTTGTCATGCCACTGACCCTCCAACGTAAGCGGCAGTCTTTTGCACATTGTCGAACCCGTTGTTTTTATTTGTTTGAAGCTTGTATAGTTTGTTTTTAGGGCCACTTGAAAAGGCATTGTTCAATCCAACCAAAACTGACAACAAACATACCAGGTCAAAGCCGTATCCTTTGACTTTTGAAGGCGGTCTATTTGACCACTTCCCAGCTAAGGGCCTTACTTAGATTTGGGAATTCCGGTTTGTGATTCTACATAAGTCCCTGATCAAACACAATTTCAAGGCCAAACAGTTACTCAAAGGGGGTACCCCACAAGAGGCCCAGATCCGCTTTAAACCTGATTCGGGAATATTTGGAGGAGATCCTATATTCTATCAACATGTATTTTGGTTTTTTGGACATCCAGAAGTTTACATCTTAATAATTCCTGCATTTGGGATCATTTCCATTCAAAAATATATGGGATTTTACAGTTAATAATCTTTGCCAAGCAATCAATGATCTTTGCCATGTCATCTATTTCTCTTCTTGGAAGTCTTGTTTGGGCACATCATATGTATACTGTAGGTTTAGAAAGTGATACAAGAGCTTATTTTACAGGAGCTACAATCTTAATATCTTTACCAACTGGTCTAAGAATATTTAATTGGCTTTTTACATATCTCTCCAATCCATCTTTATTACACCTTAGAGTTACTTCTGTCTTCTGTGTTCTTCTCTTTTTATGAAATAAAAATAAAAAGACAATAAAGACAAATATAGATAAAGTAAAACAAAATACCAAATAATAAATGAAAGAATACATAAAAGGAGAAATCAATAATAATAAAGCCAATGAAATAAGATCCAGAATTATGATGCCTTTTCTTTTTTGTGTTTCATTTCATATTCATTCATAATTCTATCATTGTAAGGATAGAATGGTTCCAGATCCACTTCTTTCACTGTATAATCCTATCCTTTAGACACTTTTCTATGTCTCTTTACTTCTTCTTTAGAATTATTTTATTTTGGAAATCATTACATTTAGAAGTTACATCAGGTTCATGTTGTTTTCTTATTTATATTTTTATCTTATCAATCTTAGCAAATATTATAATTTTATTTATCTTTACAGGATTTAATATTTATTGTTGGACTGGAATTCACTTCTCATAGAATTAGTTTCTTATATTATTTGATCTTCATTTATTGTTTATTTATAGTTTTCATATTTGGTCTAGAGATTTATGAAGATAATTAACAAAACATATGAATTATTATTAATAATACGTTTCTTCTTTTTGGAAGTTTTCTAGTTTCTGAAGCTCTATTATGTGTATCCTTCTTTTGGGCATCGTTTCATTTATTATATTCTCCAACTTTAGGGGTGTGGCCAGGAGAAGCTTTCTATCTTCCAGATCCTTGTGAATCAACTTTTGCTAAAACACTTGTTTTACCTAATGCTGCTATATCTCTAGGAAATTATTTTATTAATAACAAAATTTCATCCGAATATATTTTTCTTCACTTTATGGTCATTCCTTTTGTCTTCTCTTTGTATTAGTTTGCAGATTAAATACTTTTGCATTCTCGCATGATCAATTAATGATTCACTGTATTCTTGTCTTTCTTTTTTTTATGAATTTCTTAGATTTCTTTCATCCATCTATCGGTCTTCTTCTTCTTCTAATTCTCCTCTTTTGGGGTTGTAACGACATGCCTTTTATCTTGTTTGTCTTTTTCATATGTCATCTCACTCTATATCCGGGAGATCCGGCGAGTTGACAATGATCAGGAGATAATATCCCTTTTCCCTTATTTTCAAGTTATTTTATTATGGATATTATCCTTTTTTTTGCTTTCTTCATTATTATTACCTTTCTTTTCATTCTTCCTCACTTTTCATTTCCCATGTTTTCATCTTCTAAAAATGCAATTAGTAAAGGGGAATGAATAGAGGAATAAAAAGAGAAAAGCATTTTTACGACATGAAATAATCATAAGGTTGGGAAAGACGTGGAACAAAGGAAATCATTTCTCTTTCTTTATCATTCTCTTCTTTCCGGATCCTTATGTCACTGTCTGTCACATCATGTCCCTAAAGAAGGATCCGGAAGGCATAGAATAGAAAGACATAGGAACTCTCTTAACTGCAAAAACGAACAAAATATTAAAATAACGAAATGATAGACAAAGACGATAATAATAGAAGAGAAATCCCATCTTTTCCACTCCAATTCATCTTTATGTTGGATGTTGATAAAGATAGAATGGAATGGTATGAACAGATGGCCTCTCTTTCATCTATTTTTCAATCATACATTTGTATCTTTCCATGTCTCTATATTTTCAAGTATTCTTATTGGTTGAGGACTGAACACGACGGCGGAGAGCGAGGAGTGAGGATTGGGTGAGTCTTTCCTTTCGTACACCATCAATCTCAGAGATGAACCGCTAGTACAGAGGGAACAGAGTGAGTGAAGGGAGAGCGGTGGGGATGAAGAAAGCCACCCACCTCCTCCTTCCAAGCCTTTCCATTCCTCACGTCATAGCGGCTTGGCTGAGGAGGAAGATGTGTGAGAGATAGAAAGGACTGACTTGGAGGCGGGACATCTCTTTCACTTCCTCCTTCTCCCTTTTCCTGTCATCCAACTCATCCAAGATGAAGATGACACAGGAAAGAGAGGTAGTGAGTGAAAGGGAAAGGTGCTCAGGGTCTTATTGTCAGGCCGCGGGAAGTCTCATGAATAGGCAAGGGAAGGGAAACAGGATAACCAAGAATACAGACTGGGAAGGGAGAGAGTCCATGAGATAGCGGTTAAAGGGAGGAAGAGGGTCTTTGTCTTTCATTTTCTATTTCCATTTCTTATTTGTGGTTTTCTTCTTTATCATATTTTTAATCTACATTCTATCTTCTAGTGATCCTAACAGGAATTCCACTAATAATAAAATAGCATTGTTCCTTTCATTATTAGTAAAGATTTCTATTGCTTTTCCTTCTTGTTCCTCCTTTCTTCACTGTGTCGCGGGAGAACCAGGTGAACGAGTGAAAGGGACGGAGTGAACGAAGAGAGCGGGAACGAAGGAATCCCATCTCCCATTCTCCTCGTTCACTCGCCGCGTTAATGTCAAGCTTGTTTGGGTGGGTGTGAAGCCCAAAGATTAAAGCCTTAGCCTTTTCTTTTGAAGCATTGTTTGTTTGAGATGCGGGAATCTGAGAGCAAGTATTGGCAATACTAAATCGGGAATCTGAGCGTAGGTTTTGGCAGTACTACAATTATAATTGGCAATGCTAGGTTAAGTACAAGGAATCTGAGATCAAGTCTTGGCAATACTAGATTTGGATTGGTTCTGGGAATCTGAGTACGTCTCGACAAAATTACATCTTGAATTGGCAAATATTAAATCTGTAATTGGCAATACTAGATGAAGTACTGGAAATCGGAGATGATGTCTTGGGGATATTGAATACAGAATTGGCAATACTAGAGTAAGTATTGTCGAGTCCAAGTCCAACCCAGACCACATTGTCCCACTCAAGAGGCCACTGATGACTGCTGGCACTGTCCAAGAGGGAGGAAGCAGACCCTGCCTTTGTCTGCAGCCTGTGCCCTTTGGCAGCCCACGATACGATCCGCATGGCCAGGCATCAACAGCATCCTCAGCAACGATGAGGCGAGGGCGGTCTTTCGGTCCCGCGTCGCTACGTTGACTGGTAGCTTGCTTTCTCGTGATTCAGAGGGTTTGCTCACCCTAGGCGGCATCTATCCCCATGGTTCTATCTGACTTAAACAACCTTTTCTGTACTGCCGTTGGAATGTTGTTAAAGTTATTTCAAGGACGCGTTCAGGCTATGGTTATTGGAGGTATGGATGCTTATATACCACCTATACAAGCTTTTAAGGCGGTATATGCCCCTTGCATAAGTGGTATATAACCTAACCTCCAAAACACATCCATGAAAAGACCCTTGGAAAGCTCGCATGTCTATGCTTTGAAGCTTTGACCACGGGTACCTTGCTCCAGTCCCCATGTTTTTTTCCTTGCAGGGTACCACATGACCCCTTGGTACCCCTCAAACCCATCC